TACATACACCGTATTGATTTACTAACTGTCAAAAGATATGTCAGCAACAGCAACTTATACAACCGTCGGTTTACCGATAACTTGAATAGCGCCATTTCCGAATTCAACAATTCCAACGAACAAAGCGTGCCTCCTTTCGATTTTTCCAATAGCTTTACAATAACCTACGACTTGTTCGGAAGGTAAAACTATTAATAACCCACAAAAAATGTCTGGCACGTTGCCCTCGAAATAAACTTCCCGAATTTCCAGCGAATTCTACAATCCTATTTAATTCTGAAATTATAAATGCTTTTATAATTTATAAAACAGCTTAAACATAAGTAATTTTATATTTTAGATCTTCATACGTAGAATTAACAATTCATTTTTTTTTAAATTTGATACATTTACTGTTCCAGTAAAAATTTGTTACAAAATATATTGTAAGAATAACAACAGTTAATTCGTAATTTTCAAATTTTAATTTACTATTTTATATTTGTAACATTATTCAGAATGATAGTTTTCATTAGATAGTGATTTAAAATGTCAATAATTGATAACCACTGCATTTAATTTACAAGTGAATAGAACTGTGGAGCAATAATCGAACAAGGAATAAAAGTACGAGAGTAATCCTTTTAATAACTGATAAACCACGTATTTACAGCAAGATCTGTTAGTATAATAAGTCAGAAACGATTAGAGCCTTAGATTGCGTAATCATCGAAGACTGCTCAAACTCGCAAGTAAAAAACAAGGAGAGCGAATGAGGTAGCAAATCTTCAGGATGTCTGGCAACCAATTATGAATTTACTACCAAGATATTATAACGCCACTAATAATACGTTGGAAGCATATATAATTCGAATTTAAATATAAATGTAGAGATGATATTTTCAGTAACACATTCTATAATTGCAGTCAGTCTATTGACCGTTAGAGCGGAGATAGCTGAAGAGTGGGTCATGACCCCTGCTGGGACGGGAACTGATTCTGAGTAGATCGCGTTAAATATTAAAATATAAAAGATTTAACGGTCGTGAGACGGTATTTTTTAATCATTCCCGTTCTTTCTGAATTATTTATCAAGAGTAAGTGGGTTGATGAAAACTAAGCGTTTTGAAAGTTGGGCTTTTGGATTTGAAGACTTTAATAGCTTGGAATTTTCAGACCAGAATTTTGGAACTTTAAAATTTTGAGAATTTTTCTGAAATTTTGGGCTTAAAAATTCTGAAATTTTAGAACTTTACAATTATGAAAATTTAGAACTTTACAATTATGAAAATTTTCAACTCTGAAACTTGCAATTTTCCAACTGTGAAACTTGAAATTTGGGAATTATCACATTTTTTAACTTTGGGACTTTGAAATTGTAGGCCTTTGAGACCTTAAAATTCTATGACTTTGAGATTTTCGAATTTCTGAAATTATAGGAAATTTAATATTTGAATTTTTTCAAATTTGAGAAACAAACTTTGTAATTTTATAATTGTGAAATTCTAAAATTTTTGAACTCAAAAATTTGTTAATTTTAGCACTTTGGAATTATGAACACTGAAATTTTGAAGGTCAACGATTTTTAATTTTTTAATTTTTCAACTGATATTTTGAAACTCAAATATTTACAAATTTTGAAATTATACAAAATTTAATGCTTAAGGTTTCTTAGTTTTAGGATTTTAGAATTATGGAACGCTATAGTTTTGGAACTATAAAAATTTAGACTTTAGAATTTTTAAACATTGGAACTTTGAAATCAAAGAATTTTAAAATATTGAATTTCTAAAACTTCGAACTTTGAAATTTTAAAATCAATAGCTTCACAACACCGAAATTTTGAAATTAAAAAATGTTAACACTTCAAAACTTTTGTGTTTTTGAAAATAAAATTTTTTCGTCAGTACTTTTAGTGTTGAAATATTTGAATGCAAATAAAACATGTAAAGAGGAAAAATTATAGCAGCTTTATTTTCTAGACTGATTGCTCTTGCAAATGAATGGCTCATACACGTGACGAAATCATCTCTTTCCTCGTATTTCCTGGAAAAATGACCTTTATTTAAAAATACGTACGAAGATAAACTATAGCTCGAAGATAAAACAATAAAAATTAATCTAGAAAGATTAAAGATATGGATTAGTACTTTCACAACATGTGACAAATAATATTTTATAATTTATATCAAAGATTTATGATCTTTCTGTTTTATACAAAATAATAAACATTAACATTAATAATTAACATTTAACATTAATAATTACAGAAAAAAACATTTTTGATAGCGAATTTGAAATCGACAGTATATTTGTTACAGAAATATTGAGATGCAAGAAGCGAGTGATTACGTCACGAAAGGTGTCGTCTAACTTTATTACATCACAATTTCTGAGCTTTTTACGGTAGAACGATAAGAATATACGAAAGCATCACTGAAAAATGATTTCAAAAAAATAAGTTTTTATTTTTTTTCTTAATTACAAGCAATTACCTACTTGGCAATCTATGCAAATGTAAAAATGCTGATAATGTAAATTTGTTTCCATTAAGCGTACAGCAAAACGTTTTTATTGAGAAAGAAACAGAAAATGTTATTTAACACCGAACTAATTAACACTCTGATTAGTTACGGTAATTTAAATTAAAAAAAAACTGTGAAGACATTTTTATTATTTGTTTTTAAATTGTAAAATTATTTTTACAAAATGAGGTAAACTCGAAACAATTTTTGATTTACTATAATAAAAATATAATTTCAAAAATAAAAAGACAAAATTACAATTGAATATTTAAAACTACAATGAATAAAAAAGTAAGAAGGTATTAAAACAAAATTGTTTATGTAGATATCAAAAATGGCGCAGTATTTAGGCACCGATATAATTAAAGTACATAATTGCATTAGGTGTGTAAATTCACGGTGACGTTCACACCGTGTTAACAAGAATGCATGTGCAGATAAAAATCTGGCACAGACGCAGTGCCAGCATGTCATACAACTTGAAGTGATTCGAATCACGGACCGTAATCGGATGCATACCATGAAAAAGATGTAGAAGAAAGGAAAATGGGTGCCGCAACTGACCCAGGATCATGGTGAACGGCGTTTCAAGTATTCTGCCCGCATTCTATAAAAGTTGTCTATAGATGGCACAGATTAGTTTAGTATTTTTCTCCCGGAGGAAAGATGGCGCTCGGGATACAGAACTCCCATATTGATGATACAGATTATGGGAAATCGAAACAGAGAACGAAGAACGGATCTATTGCAATAATCCTAAATAGAATAAATAGAGCCGGATTAATACCTTCAATGATCGAACGCTTAAAAACTATTGTTGGTTCAATACGTAGGCGTATCTAATATTTGATGAGACTTTTTGCAACTTTAGAAGACTGAATTTAGAATATGGAATTTAAGACTTCAGAATTATAGAATTTTTAATGTTTAAACTTTGGAAATTTTTAGGTATAAAACTTCAAAATAAGAAATTTATCACATCTTGTAATTTTTTAACTTTGGGATTTCGAAAAATTGGTAATTTAGATCTTTGAAATTTTGAAACGACAGAATTTGGAATATAGGATTTTAAAATTTCGGGTCTTTCAGGTTTTAGATAATTAGAACTTAGATAATTAAATAACTAGTTTTAGATAATTAGAAATTTTTTAAATTTGCTACTTTAAAATGTTAGAAATTTAAAAATATGTCTTTATTTTGTTCAGTGATGATTTTAACCCAAATAAATTCCAAGTAATCATCTACGAAGCACAAAACTCGTGGACATAAACTACTGTTTATCTGGTGACACCAAAAACTAGTATTATGTTATGACCATCTACTAGGTCAGATTACAGTAGAACGCCATGAAAAATAATAGAATGGTTGAACAAAACATTTCAAAAGAAATTTCTACTCTATACATCAGAAGTATATAAAGACATTTCAAAGAATACCTGTAGTCCCATATTTCTTTTGAAATCAAGAAAACTATTCAATCTCGAATAGAATGTCCTATTCCATTTACACTCCTAACATCAGACCTAATTGCCATCGGTTTCGGTGAATACATCATAATTTTGTTTATAAACATTTTTGAAATGAAGATGAAGCAAAAAACGAAGAATTTTTATCGTCATAGCATTTTAATATCATCTAAATAATGAAACTAGCACATTCATGAGATGCAAATGTACAGTGAAGTCTCAATATAAGTGAATATCTCGGATATGAATTTTCGGTTACAATCGTGTTTTCGACAATGATCGAAGTTTGCCGAATGCGAAAAAGGATAGCAAGCGACGGAAACGACCGAACGTAAACAAACAATACATATCTGTGGAATCCTAATGCAAGAATTTTTTGATTCATTTATTATAAAATTTTGATCAACGTATTTGATATTTCCTTAATCAAAATGAGATAACATAATTCGGAAAATATTAACTTGTAATGTTAAACATTTTGTTTACATGTAAAATTTGGATATGAGCGAATCTTTCGTGTTTGAATTTTCGTTTACATCGTGTAATTCCGACAATGATTGAAGTTTACCAAACGTAGACAGCAAGCGACGGAAACAACCGAACATAAACAAACAATAACATATCGGAACAATTTTGATGCACGAATAACTGTTGAATTGACAGTTTTGAAACTAATGAAATTCGAGACATATTTACTTATAATAATTTACAAGATTGAGGTGCTTCATATAAGCGAAACGCTTGAATTTACAAGTAAATGTATTATTTGTAAGACATTTATAAGAGACTTTACTGCACGACTAAAAATTCTTCAGAACTTATTCATACAACTACTATAATTTCCTCGAGGATAATTTTACTTCATAAATGCTACATCTACAGAAGAACCGTGCAGAATAAATTCGACACATTTTCTAGTCGATATCACCTTTCCACTTCCTCCATTATTCAACCGGAGCTAAGCTATTTCGATGCAGTTTCCTAAGAGCACAGATGAAACAATCGATAAAATAAATAATTCATATCCTACCTCGATTGATAAGCATCGTTCTAATAACCCTGATATAAATCTTCCCGTGTTTCGTTTTGGCAACGTGAAACAAAAAGTCCGAAACGATTCCATCTCCTTCGTGGATATCGGTGTCCGCCAAAATTTCTCTTAATGCTTCGACCCTTTCTTCCGGTGTACTTTCGTCGTTCAGGAGCTTCTTATCCAAGCATTCCACGACACTGAAATCTTCCCAGAGTTCCGGCGGATCTTCATCGTGCGACTTTCTCGAGGATTCGAGATCGAGAAAACCGGAAGTGTCCAAGCCGGCATACGACACGTCTAGGGCCAAACTATTGAACGTTGGCACCCGTGGAGAATCCGGTTCCGATACGGGGGTACTTGTCAACCTCCAGGAAGTGTTCGGTTCGTTCGTTTCTACTGGACTTCCTTGAACATGTTCCTTTGACTCCGACGACCTATCGTTCATCTTACGCAAAACCTTCGAACTCTTTTCCGATTTCCAAAAGTACTTTCTCTTGAAATTTCTCAATAGATTATCGCAAGTTGTCGACTTCAGTGTCCAGGAAGTTCGCGAATTATCTTCATTGCTTTTCCATGCAGCACTTTCTTGTTCAGCAGCGACACGCTCTAAAAGACTTTCGCCCGTTCTCGAAGCAAAATTAACCTCCTGGGAACGTTCGATTGTTTTCCAAGATGAATCTTCCTGGGAATCCTCCAACGTTCTCTGGGAACTTTTTTCTGATCCAACGCCACTTCCTCTCGCGCGCTCTTCCGAGATTCTACTTTTACTCGTTTCCCGTGTGGCATCGTGACAATTTCCTGTCCCTGCTCTTTCGAATTTCGCGCCAGATTTCAGGTACGATTGCTCCGGGTGATCGTTACTCATGTCACGATAATCGCATCTCGATCTCGATAGTGATCGAGATCTTTTCAATCTTCTCTGTTCGTTAAATTATCGAAGGTGATTTCGTCGTGAAATTTTTGCGTAAAATGTTTCTGTTTCTCTTCGTTCCCCTTTCATTCACATAATTAATCCAGTGTTCGCTGTTAAATGATACACTTTTTAAACGGTAATCAAATAGCTCGATGATTTTTTTTTCGTAAATTAATGGCAACGATAGTTTCGAAAGCGTACTATTTACCTTGTTGTAAATGCACAAGGTCATTTTCAGTCGAAACAACGCTTGAAATCGTTTTATCGGAACAAGAGAGCCGGTATCGTTTTTATCAGGAATACGAACTGATTAAAAAACAATTGAAAGCGTATCAGGCTATTGATTGAAAAAAAGGACTTGTTTGAATTCCTATGAATGCGCTATAGCAAACTGATAAGGGGACAATTGATCGGTAACTCCAATACGTGCGATCGTACGATCGATAACGATTTTGCAAGCGACCACAAAGTGTCAATCATACTGTTGATCGAACAATTCTTTTCTATTTATTTGCAGTGATGATATTTGTGGATCAACGAACTGATACATACGTGACCTGATCAAAGTAACAACAAAAACAAAACAAAATATAGTTTGATGTATTCAAGTTATTAAACCTTCTATGTAACCTGCTGCATATATTCTGTGAAATTTTTGTACTTTCACAAATATAAATAAATTGCATAATTTCTTATCTATGAAATTATCAAAAGTAAAATGAAAATTTTGTTTTCGTTTGATTATAATTTTGTACAGTTCTTTTACGATACAATACTAAATTATTATAATCTGTTGTAATTAAAGTGTTTATTTATAATAATAAATTATTTAACATTTCCTAAATGTTATAATGTAAATACCGAATGGTACATGTATATGAGTACAAAATTAATTTCTTTATTAATCAAGAGGAAGATTGACGATAACAATCGATAACAAAATATAAACAATGAATTAACAATAATCAATAATAAAAGAAAACAACAAATAAATAAAATAAAGCAGTAGAAGTGTAATATTATAGACAATTATGAATTGTTTACCGAGAATTTAAAATGTTCTATTTACTTTTCACTTTTCAAACGAAGTTGAAGGTGTTTAAAATCGTAGATACCGGAATTATAGATAGTTAAAACCGCGGATACCAGAAACCACTCCGCGGATACTGAGACCGAGGATAAACGAAATTAAAGGAGTTTGAAATCGTAGATACTAGAATTATAGATAGTTGTAAACCGCGGATACCGAAACCGCGGATACCGAAACCGCGGATAACAGAAACCACCCCGCAGATACAGAGACCGCGAATAAACGAAGTTGAAGGTGTTCAAAATCGTAGATATCGGAATTATAGATAGTTGGACCCGCGGATACTGAATCCATGGATACGGAATCCGCAGACGGTTGGGCGGTGGATACCCAATGTTAGAAATATTGAAAATTATAACTGATTAAGAATATATGAGACTGCGGATACCGAGACCACGAATAGACAAAACTGAAGTAATTCAAAATAGCAGATGAGGTTGCAGATGTGGAAGCCACATAAACTGAAACCGCGGTTATTGCGGGTGTTAAAAACAGCGGATATTGAGATCGCAGGCATGAAATTAGACATGTTTGAAACCACACATATCTGAAATCGGATATTCATGAACATCCGAAACCGCGGATAATAAAATTGCAATACCTGAAATCGAGAGTATTCGAAATCATAGAAGATTTTTTGATGAATTTGAAAAACCTAGAGAGAACTAGAAATAACGTAATATTAGCGTAACCATCTATTTTGCAAACAAAAGCTATAGAAGAGTAACAAAATAGAATATTCCTTCCTCTAATATTCTGTTAATGAAGAAAAACCTAAATTACAGAAGACGGTACGCAGTTATGCAACAAACGAACCAAATTGCATATGATCTTAACGGTAGCTAATTAACAATCAATCTCGTAACCAATTAATCGAAGAATAATGAGAAAATACAGATTCTATGCGTTTTCCGAAACTATGAATAGCTCTATAACGAATAAGATGCTAATTTTGTAGCTGTATCTTTATAAAGCTCTTGAAATGAACGTTAAATCCATTTTCGTACGTTCCTGTGAACGTAATAGCGAGTGAAAATCTACCGTATAACACTGCAGTATTTCCGTGGTTACCAATTAATTATGTATTAATTAAATGAAAGGCGATAACCTGACGCGAAACGGCTCGAACGGAGTTTCGAAAACAATCAACCATTGTGTACCTTGCATGTTCTTGTAGGTATCATTTAATTCACGGATCTGTGAGAAAGTAATTTAAACTAAACAAGAGAGAATGTGTCTAAAGAATTACATGGTTTTTCTTTGACAAGAGGAACCTGATCACCTAACGATTATTACGTAATCTTTTAATGGAATGGAGTTCAGGACTTGGGAAAATTTTTCTTCATTCTTGCTTGTGTATCATATACCAAATTAGCAGTTGCTTACTTTACAGAAAAATGGGACAAAACATAGCTTTGAAGGTAATTTCATTACAGTTTCTAAATGTCTGAGAAATGGTTTAAATTTGTACTAAATTGTTTCCAATCTAAATAATGAAACTTTCTAATTCTTTTAAATCTAATCATTTTAAATATTTTAGAAGAACATTACAAGTTTTTACACGATATGTAATTTGAAATATGCAACTTAGTTAAACTTTCATAAACTAAAAATGTATTACAGTGCATTATACATTTTTGCTTATGTTCATAAATTTCCCAATCATACAAAAATATAAATTTCACAAATACTAAAACTAATAGAACAATTAAGGAAAATTGAACTGACTTATAATAACATTAGAACTATCACAATTTGATATGCATTTATTTTTAAATTAAAAGTAAAGCAGAAGGACAAATAAATAAAAGATAAAGTATAACAAAGCATGTATAATTATTCTTTATCTTCGGAAAAGCTAATCTGCATTTTACAAAAATATTTCAATAAATTTTATGATCTAAATTGAAATACATAAAGCAAATTATTTTGATTTATTCTCTAGATTTCATATAAAAGTGTGCACAACTTATTTTACAATATTATTGAACATTAGGAATTTTTATTTGTAACTGATAATCTATAATAGTTCCAGTGTTTACACGACAATTGATATTTGAAACATGATCATGTGAATCTACTGCGTTTACCGAAACATGATACGTAGATCTAAAAGAATAAAATTAAATTTTTATGAACAATTTTATATTGGGTTATTTATTTCCTATTTTAAAAAATTTTATTTAATACTGAAAGAAGAACAATAAAATACCCTATATCTTTTGACAACACTTGAGAGAAATGTTGATATTTATCACTTCCTGTTATCAACGACTTATTTGCAAAGCTAAAAAGATGCCATAAAGTTATGTAATCGTGACTTATAAAAATTATAAACAATTTACAGCACTTTATGTAGAATTATATACAGAAATGAAATGAAAATTTTATAAAACTAATCTGATCATTGAATATAAGAAGTTCTTTGAATTGAGCAGAATTTAAAGAATCAATACATGACTTTCAATATACAAAAACAGATTTAATTTCAGTCCAACTGATCACTGTTAAAACTACTAATATGAGGACAAAGAAATTCACTAAACTCATAAGTTTTTATTTAAAAGATTAAGAAAATATGTTCTCCCTGCATAACCCTAACCTAACTTAACTTAGTATATCTCTATGATACTAAACTCACTGTTTCATTTAATTTACAAAAAGATATATTCCAGTATAAATATTTAACATTTTATTCTACAAAAATGTACAAGTTAATTAAATTTAATAACTAAAACGTTGCTTTCGGCTAGTTCAGCTGTCCAACCTAACCTTAACAAAATTTTTAAAACATTGCGACATACTAAAAAATGACAAATTCACTTTACATTTTTTAATTCATAAGAAAAGAACATTTTTTTTCAAAATGTATTAAGTTTAAAAAGATACCTTTGCTTTATAACGAATTAAACACAAAATTAACAAGACATGTGTAATGTAATTGAAGCACACAGTTTCGGTACTGTCAGTATAATATTTTTTAACAGAATCTATATTATATGTATCAACATTTACTTTATGACATGTAATATTAATAACATCTCACTTTTCAGCATTATCTCTAACAATGATTAACCGGACAATGAATAACTAAAATTTCGAATTTTCGTTGCACCATTAATTCACGAAAAATATCAATGACATTAAAAATCAAACCTGCATATTGATAAAATATTAAACGTTACAAATAACGGTTAAAATTTGTACGTTTAAATGTACCAATACATGTTGTGAACAAAAACTTAACAGAAATATGCACTACTGCGACGATTCACTTTTAACTGTCTCGTGTTTAACGTCATTTCACGAAAAAACTACACTTCTTCAAGGAGTAATATCAGAAAAAGTCACGTTACTTGCTTCGTAATATAAGATTAGGCAAGTTCCTTCGCATCGTGACGACAAAGACGCAGAACGTCCTTCCAACGTGGAGGACGAGCGGCGACTAAAGTACACCTATGAAATTTCCAGCCGCAGTGCCGGGTTCAGCGCTCTAATTGGTCGAGAACACATTTGGGCGGTTGTTACGATTGGTCGGTCAACGAAAGAGCGCCTAATTACATGTGACTCGTTATTAATGAAACGTGAAATGTTATTTTAAATAAAGAAACACCGTTTTTAAAAACACTATTGTGATAACCATCGTTTTATCTCCGTTTTAAGTATCTTTCCGGGAATTTAAAAAGACAGAATGCAGTAGAATCTTATTATAGAAAATACTGAACACAGCTGAAGTGTGAAACAGTAATTAAAGGGCAAACAAACTGATTTCTATGTAGCACACGATTATTAGACATTTAAAATTTTTAAATTTCAAATTTTTAAACGGGACTATTTAAAAATATGTATACTTGAGATTTTGAAATTCTTAAATGTGTAAATGTGTAAATGTGTAAATGTATATATGTGCAAACGTGTAAATGTGTAAATTTGTACATTTGAAGAAGTGAATATTTCAAAATTTGTGAATATAAAATTGCAAGATTCCTAAAATTGAAATTTGAAAATTTGTAACTTTGAAATTTAAAAATTCCTAAGTTATTCAATTGGAAAGCTTAACAATTTGTGCACTTGTATTAAAAATTTGCAGTTTAAAAATCCGACATTTCTAAATTCAAAGATTTGTAAATTTAAACTTTATACATTAAAAAATTCCTACATTTGTAACTTTTAAGTTTCTACTTGAAAGTTCCTAAATTAAAAAATTTTTAAATTAGAGATCTGAAAATTCATAAACTTGGAACTTTCAGATTTGAAAAATTTAAAAACCCTAAATTAAAAATGTTGAAAACTTCTAAAGTCGTTTCTAAACTTGAAAATTTCTGGATTTCTAAATTTGAGGAGAATGTAAATTTATCACATATAGATTTTAAGTTTTGTATAAAATTTTTAATAAAAATATTCATATCTTTTCAAGCGACTTCAAAGATACATTAAGATAAAAATTATTGCAGAACGGATAAACGTATAACACATATATTAAAACGTACATGACAATTCTCTTTTTTTGAGATAATGTTTTATGTGTTTTAAATAAACCCTTACCTCATCGATGAAAAATTTAAGCGTCCTTA